TCCTTTGTCTGTGGTGTTCAAAATGAACAGAAGTTGTGGACGACATGGCGATGAGCAATAGCATGACAATAGAGGCCGTGGACGCAATTCAGACGATCATGTCAACGATTATCGTGCATGATAAACCCGCAAACAACAAAAGAAAAGCAGCAGTGGCTGAGCGATAAGAACCATATAGTCACACGACGTTCACACAGAAACAGAAATGATTGCATATAATCCGCTGAAGTACGGAGAAAGTTGTGGCGGCGACCGACTTTTCTCCTGCCTATCCACCCTCCCTCCCCACAATCCACCCTCCAACTGCGAACCACGGAGGACGAACTTATCCTGCAGTTCGCGCAGTGCCGCCACATGTCACACCCGTGATTAACAAACCCTTTTGTGGAGCACGACCAGAAAGTGTGCTCCAATTCCTAAAAGAGTACATGAAGAAAACAAACAAAAAAAAAAAAACTTAAAACACAGGAGCCGCTCACAACACACGCTGTACAGAGCCATCTGCCAACGTGGCCACGTCGCTGGACCGCGCAGTCTTCGCCACCCTTATCGTTCGACGCGGTGAGAGATGTTTCCGCACCTCCGCCTCAACACACTTCCGCGCAAGACCTGCCACCTCACCTATTCGCCACACCCCCCACCCCAAGCACATGGCAACACCCGTCCCGCCTCTGCGCTACCGTGTCCACTTGAAGGCGCACACTTCCTCCTCTCGTCACCACCGTCGACGAAGCGCCGACGATGCGCACCAACCCGCTGCCATGTGCTCGAGATGACGTGTCACTTGCCATCATCTCCATCGTCATCCGCCGCGGGCCCGCTGCCGATCCACCCGTGTTTTGCGGTCTCCGCCTCGTTCTTCAGGGCAGCATTGTGCCCGAACGCCAACCCGCAATCACACCACTCCGGAATGCATTGCGGGTAATCTCCCAGCCTGAGGTGGGCCTTCCCTAGACGATCGAGGACGAGGTTGGCGGAGTCCACCACGTGTCGGCGCCAGTTGAAGATGTACGACCCCGCCACTATCATCGCCGGTTTCGCGACCATGGACGCGTACGACCATGCCTCGTAATGCGATCGGTCGCCGTCACCTCCCATGCGCATGATCCACATGACCGCGCACAACAACGCTCGCAGACAGTCCGCCAGCCTGGACAACCTCTCCTGTTTTACGCGCCCGCCATCCGCCCACTGTCCGCACCAGAGCGCATCTGTCCAGCACTCCGCCAGCAAAAGAACTGTCGCCTCCTGCCGGGCCGCCATGTCGTCGTCTTCCGGGCGGTCCTCAATCTTCACCCCCGCGAACCACAGGGGCACGTCCATCTTCATCGCCACCGTGTGGTAGACGAGTGCAGGGGATACCACTCTCGACCATTCCAAGGCCTGCCAAACTGCTCGCGCGAGGTCCGTGGCGAAGTCAACCGTGATGTAGGACTCTGCACGAGAGAAGCCAGTCCACCTCGACTGCGGTTTAAAGATCCAACCATGGATGGTGCGCAGCACTACTCTCTCCACGCTGCGCGCTCTGCGGAGAGCCGGTTCACGCTGCGCCGGGTCGTCGATCTTGAAGCGAGGCACGTCGTTCGGCGGCATGATGAGCATCGAAGGCGGCTCAGCTCCTGCGTCTCCGTTGGCGATGGCGACGAAGTAGTCGGTGCATTTGCCTACCGCCTCCCTCAGAGGTTTCCAGGGGCCCTGACCCCAGAAAGCGTCGCAATCAACCCACAACTTGGCCTTCTCTTGCAGCTCGTCCTCCTTCGGCGCTCCCTTCCCCCTCGGCACAAGTGGACGGTCGTCGCCGTCATTGCCCTCCCGCTTTCCGTCTCTTCGGCCATCGTCACGGCCAACGTCGTCGACCCGCACCCTTTCCACACCTTCGACGACTCTGCCTTTAGTTGTGTGATCTACCGCCGCCGTCCGACTGGCGGTAGCCGTCGCGTCGCCCTTTTGCGCGGTCGCCGTGTGCCCTCCCCCTGTTGCCAACACGTGTTGCAAGGGGAGTGGCTAACGTGGCTGACCTTGGCCTGCCGCCGCCGAAATTTGTCTCGCGACCCGCGCGGCCGTGACGACAACCCCTGCCGTGTCTGGGGACCTTGGCACCGTCCCGGTAGCACCGCCAACAACGCTGCGTCTCGCTGCTTGCAGCTGCTCCCTCGACACTCCATCCCGCCCGAAACCCAACCTCACGATCCCTGCCGTCCCTTGCGCGTCCACCATAGCCACTTCGTCTGCGAGGAAGTCCTCAGTTTGTGAGGAGCCCTCGTCATCGATGCGCTGCCTTTTCGACTTCGGTATGTGGCCTCGGCCTTTGTTGGTTTCCCCACCGTCGCCCACCCCGCCATCTTTCCTGCCCCTCGCCGAGGCTCCCCGTGGGGGCATCTGGTCCGCAAATCGGCAACAACGACCACGTAAACGAAGGCTTCCTTCGACGGAAGAGCGCGCGGAAGAAGGACGCCTGTGACTACTTCCCAGTGCTTCCACGTGGACGGAGGACAACGTGGACGATGCAGATGACGGGGCAGTGGTCGTGGAGCCGCGATGACGATGGTGACCAAAATGGGGATCGAAGACGACGAAACACGTTGGCGGAGGAGCACGTCCACGAAGGATGACGTCGACGAACGAACGCGTGGACAGAGGCGGCGCTCAAGTCCTTGAAGCGCGGCACGCGAGCGAAGAGGAAAGTTGGCGCGACGGGGACGAGGGACCACCTGTTTGATGCGCATGAAGGGGCATTGTCCGCGCAGCACGATGCGGGAGCGTGGAGCGGCGACGCGGAGTTGCAGGCGCGCGACGATGAGCAGGTAGGCAGACGGTGCGAGAGGGAGCCGTGGGTAAGGAACCACCGCGGTACGAAATGGCGGGCGGAATGTCCTTTTTCCATGTACAGCGATGTGGAAGTACACAATGGACATGAGTCGCCGCCCACTACAGCCCGCCCCTTCGTCGCTCGCCCATGGTCCGTTTTCCTCCGCAGGCGCATGTCATCCCTTGCATGGCCAACATCCTTAGTGGGCGCGCAGAAGGACCCTGGCGGAGGTCTAAAAAGCCCGCCAAAACAACGACCCCCTCCCGCCTGAAAATCACACCCTTCTCTGAAACCCCCGAAGCTCGCCATCCATGCGTGCCGGCGACGCCTCACTACAACAGTCCTAATATTCTATAATCAGACGACGTAGCGCAACATCGAAGGACGCGCCGCGGGGCATGACAGCAATCATACCCATTCTACAATGAAATCATGAAATAAATGCATACCTAAAACAAAAAAAAAAACTGTGCGCCCAAAAAACAACCACCCGTCTGTACACAACCAGCACATCTCGTCACTGCAGCACACAGGACAATGACGGCACGCGTGGCGGGGAGATGTCACGATCGCTCGCGGATCGCTTTAGCAATCTCCATAAGTGCTTCGCACATCATCAAGTTCGCCTGGTCGGCCTTAAAGTAGTGTTCCTTCTGCACTTCAACCTCTCGCTCCAGAATGTCGCACTGCCTGGTCAGAATTGAGCACTGTCTCTTGCTCGCGCTGTCCACGGTTGACGCCATCAGACTCCCGTGCTCCTTCATGACGTCTACAATCGTGTCGAAGGTCTGCTGTCTCACATTCTTCCGTTTGCTGCCCCCGCCAACA